ACAGTACACAGATACTGATTTAGAAAATATGAATTGGAATGAAAAATGCAGGTTGATTCAAAGTAACCCAGTAACATGTGCAAGGCATTTTGATTATCAAGTTAGTCAGTTTCTGACTAACTTTCTCTTGAAAGGAGCCCAACCTCTGGGCAAAATATCTGACTGGTTCTATAGAGTGGAATACCAGCAGCGAGGCTCACCTCACATCCACATGCTTATATGGCTAGACAGTGCACCAGTACTTGGAGTTAATGATGAAGCTATTGTTACAGACTTCATTGATCAGATCATTAGTTGTAAATGGCCAGTTGATGATCTAGAACTGCAGAAATTGGTGAACCGGCAAATTCACAGGCACTCTCAGACATGTAGAAAGAAGAATAAGAATGAATGTTGATTTAATTACCCACAGCCTCCTATGAGGGCAACTGAGATTTTATATCCTTTAGATTCAGATATACCTCTGCATGAAATGAAACAACACAAAGAAAATTGGAAAACTATTCAGAAACAATTGAATGATTTAAAAAAAGGTGAATTAGTTACCTTTAATGAGCTGCTTGTCACTGAAAATAACTATAGATTGGCTATCAGGTCAACTTTAAATTCTCCAACTGTCTTTTTGAAAAGAGAACCAAATGAGTTAAGAATTAACAATTACAACCCAGCTTGCTTTAAGGCATGGAGAGCAAATATGGATATTCAATTTGTTCTTGATGTGTATGCATGTGCTATGCATATAGTGTCTTATATTTCTAAAGCTCAAAAAGGAATGAGTGATCCTTTGCGACAAGCATGTGCTGAAGCTAGGAAAGGAAATTCTAACATCAAACAACAAGTTAGAGATATCGGAAACAAATTTTTGAACAGTGTTGAGATAAGTGCACAAGAAGCTGTTTACATTGTTTTACAGCTTCCTATGAAGAAATCATCACACCAAGTGATATTTGTAAATACTGCACCTCCTAATGAAAGAGTACAGCTTCTTAAGCCTATTAATGACATTTTAGAAATGGAAGATGATTGTGAAGGAGTATACACAGGTGGTCTTTTGCAAAGATATGCAAAATGTCCTTTTACTCTTGAGCACTTGACATTAGCAGATTGGGCAGCTTGGTATGGCTCATCAGGAAAACCCTATATCAAAATATCATTTCAAAATGACACTGATAACCTTCCCTTTGAAACAGCAAGTGAAAACAATGATGATGACTTTTGTAATGAACTTAGTAATGAAAAGAAAAACAAAAAAAGATCAATAGCTAGAGTTATTAGAAGTGTTTGGTTTAATAAAGAAAAAGATCCAGAAAAACATTATTGAGAACTTATTATGCTCTTTACACCGTGGAGAAATGAGGAAACTGACTTGCTAGCAAATAGTTCTTCCTACAAAGCACGTTTCTTACTTATGAAAGATGCCATAAGTGAACAAATGAAAGAATATGCTGTTTGTGGTAGTGGTATGGATAAACTCCAGGAACACTTGAATGGTGGTGAAGATACAGGTGATCATGCCGTGGGTGATAAAGATCTACACCCTGATTTTAATGAAAACTATGATTTATCAGAT